AATCCCAAAATTCCCGAATTTTCTGGGAATTCCCAATTTTTTTCCCGGGAATTCCTGGAATTTTTTTGGGAATTCCCGGAATTTTTTCTTGGGAATTCCCGGGGTTTTGGGGCAGGGGAAGGAAAGAAAATTGTTGGGATTTTCCCAAAATTGGAGCGTCTGGGACTCGTTTGGGGATGAACTGGGAGGGACTGGGAGGGACTGGGATGGACTGGGAGGGACTGGGATGGACTGGGAGGGACTGGGATGGACTGGGATGGAACTGGGATGGAACTGGGATGAACTGGGAGGGACTGGGATGGAACTGGGATGGACTGGGATGGAACTGAGAGTTACTGGGATGAACTGGGAGGGACTGGGATGGAACTGGGATGAACTGGGAGGGACTGGGATGGAACTGAGAGTTACTGGGATGAACTGGGAGGGACTGGAATTGACTGGGATGAACTGGGAGGGACTGGGATGGACTGGGAGTTACTGGGATGGATTTCCCCCCCCCCGCTCTCCCCCAATGGTTTCGCCCGCCCTGGCCACGCCCCTTTTCCGGCACGTGACCGCCGTGTTTACGTCCCCCCCGCCTCTCACGTGACTCTCCCCGCGCGGTGACGTCAGTCACATGACGTCAGTCACATGAGGGCCGCAGCACCGCCCGGATCCTTCCGCGCCTCCGCCCGGGGCCTCCCCGTTACCGGGACTGGGACGGACTGGGATAAACTGGGATGAACTGGGATGAACTGGGATGAACTGGGACGAGCGTAACACTGAGGGCGAGGCCCTTACGCCATTTGCGTAGCGCTGAGGGCGCAGCCGAGGCTTTCCCGATGCACTGGGAGCGAACTGGACCGAACTGGGAAAGGCACCGGGAAGCGGCAGAGGAAACTGGGATGAACTGGGATAAACTGGGAGGAGCTGGGATGAACTGGGATAAACTGGGATGAACTGGGAGTAGCGTAACACTGAGGGCAAGGCCCTTACGCAATTTGCGTAGCACGAGCCCTTACGCAATTTGCGTAGCGCAAGCCCGTACGCAATTTACGTAGCGCAAGCCCTTACGCAATTTGCGTAGCGCTGGGGGCGCAGCCGAGGCTTTCCCGATGCACTGGGAGCGAACTGGGAAGCGGCAGAGGAAACTGGGATAAACTGGGATATACTGGGATGAGCTGGAAGGAACTGGGAGGAACTGGGAGTAGCGTAACACTGAGGGTAAGCCCTTACGCCATTTGCGCAGTGCTGAGGGCAAGGCCCTTACGCCATTTGCGTAGCGCTGAGGGCACTGCCCGCTCCCTCATGCCATTTGCGTAGCGTTGAGGGCAAGGCCCTTACGCCATTTGCGTAGCGTTGAGGGTATTCCCCACCCACCTTTACGCCATTTCCGTGGCGCCGCGTCATTCCGGTGCAGGGGAGGCGCTTACGCTGTTTGCGTAGCGCACGCCGTTGGCGCAGGCGCAGTGGGGCGGGCCCGGATCCCTGCGCGCGGCCGAAGCCTCCGGTGCCGGTCCCGGTTCCGAGCAGGCCCCGGCCCCGGTCCCGGTCCCGTGAAGGCCCCGAGAAGGCCCCGGCCCCCAGCAGGCCCCGGCCTCGGCCCCCGGCCCGGCCCGGCCATGAAGTTCCTGTACAAGGAGGAGCATCCGTTCGAGAAACGTCGCTGCGAGGGCGAGAAAATCCGGAAAAAGTACCCGGACCGAGTCCCGGTGAGGCGGGGGAGGCCCAAAATCAACCGGGGAGGCCCAAAATTCACCCCGGGAGGCCAAAAATTCACCGGGGGGAGCCAAAAATCAAATCCCGGAGCCAAAAATTCACCCGGGGAGGCCAAAAATTCAATTCGGGAGCCAAACGTTCCCTCAGGGAGCCCAAAAATCCACCCCAAAATCCCCAAAATCCCACCCCAAAGTCCCCAAATTCAGCCCAAATC